ACACAAATCCAGATAAGGCAATCCAAGAAGGCCCTTCTGGATTTTTCTGACCAATTCATACAATAACGATGCTACAATGGTTTCGAGATATTCCTGAGCTGACATGAAGTCAAGAAACCTATTTATCACAAGGATTTTCATCATCGTATATCATTGGTTATTTCTCGATATGTTTAAATTTGGTAGAAATAGAGTAATTTATAAGGATAATGGACCTATCCCATTCAGTCTATATAGTTTAGTGATATAAGACCAAGGTTAACATGTGAAATCAACCATGGCTATCATTAACTTGGTGGTTAGTGTCTCTCACGGTTGGGAGGACATATATCTAGTATACAGGGTGTTCATTTCAGGACTTCCCACCCTAATTTTCTCGAAATGTGTGTATGTTTTTGAAAAATCCCGAGACACGTCAACTACATTTTCGAGGGGGACATGGTTCTAAAATATTTTCAGCCCCGCGGCGTTGCCGCTTCTAACGAAAAGAAGCAACAACTTTGTTATTTCAAATGGAACACCCTGTATTTTATTGCATTTTTAGATTCTTCCTGAAAAGCTGATTTCATCAATGTATCACACTTGGGGTCTAGCAGGAATGATTACAGAGATATAGGGTGTTCAAAATCGAGATTTTACAACTTTAGGATTTTTTTGAGTCGAAACTATTCATTATTGGTCAAAACGGCTTTTATGTCCCTATCTCAACTTTTGATTTACTATCTACTGACATTTATTTGAAACAAATACAGGGTGGTTCAAGATTCAGACTTTTGATCACCCTGTATTTGTTTCAAATAAATGTCAGTAGATAGTAAATCAAAAGTTGAGATAGGGACATAGAAGCCGTTTCGACCAATAATGAATAGTTTCGACTCAAAAAAATCCTAAAGTTGTAAAATCTCGATTTTGAACACCCTATATCTCTGTAATCATTTCTGCTAGACCCCAAGTGTGATACATTGATGAAATCAGCTATTCAGGGAGAATCTAAAACTGCAATAAAATACAGGGTGTTCCATTTGAAATAACAAAGTTGTTGCTTCTTTTCGTTAGAAGCGGTAACGCCGCGGGGCTGAAAATATTTTAGAACCATGTCCCCCTCGAAAATGTAGTTGACGTGTCTCGGGATTTTTCAAAAACATACACACATTTCGAGAAAGTTAGGGTGGGAAGTCCTGAAATGAACACCCTGTATAAGTAGCACGCTAGGATAGAACATTTAGTTTTAATCGTCTCCTGAAGATGCTAACATAGTTAGCGAAATACGTGTCGAGGCTTGAAAAATCGATTTGGTTAGTGGTAAAACAGTGTGTATTGAATTATCGTGCCAAAGGTTCCAGTATTCGATATATCATTTCATTTAGGTTTCTTCAACGAAATTTCATCAACGTAGTAGGTATTCATAGTGTTATCAGTGCATTTTCCAATTCCACATACAGCGTTGTGTCTAGATGGATATCTTACGATTCCAGAAATATTAGTGGAGGAGCTTCAAAGGCGCTATTTCCTCTTCCTGTTTCCAAAGCGGATGGATATTTTCATTTTCCATTTCTATTCCCTTTTATTCGTCTATATTTACATGTTTTCCTTTGGCGTACCTTCACCTTTTGTGAGAAAATAATTTATTCCAGCATCCATCGACAGTCAAATTGCAAAACCGGAATTCGTGCTATAATATTCGAGAAGGAAAAGGCAGAAGAAAAACTCATCCATATAAGGTTAGGAATTCAGTTCACATGACGTATACAGGATGAGATTTTGAAAACCTCCCACCCTCAATATATATTATCTGCCTTTCATGAAATAATATGATGAATTGAAAGGACAGGTTAATTTTATCTTCAAGGACGACACCTAGAATTGACATTTTTCTACTCACATAACTAAAATGGCATTTAGCGTACGAATATGTACCACGCTAAATGATCGATTAATCTCGGATCTTTATTCAAAATATTAAAGACGTTACCATGGCAACACGATTTCTTAAACACATTACCATGGCAACGCAGTTCATTAAACACAGCTTCAGTAATTTGAGACATGTCTGGCCTGTCAATCATATTAACTGTCAACTGTCATTTTCGAATTTCGAATCAGAATTATTCAAACAATCAATCTTCGTTTGTATCAGAATTCTTCATTAAAAATATATGCGAAATGTAGGCGAAAGTGAAATCGTAGAGAATGTTTTGGTACTTGCATATCTCCAACAAGTGTAAAAATGAAGCATCCATCTTTCAGAACAATTTATTTATTCTGCGCTGAGCATGACAATAAACGTGAAACATGGTGAAACAAAGGTTTGTAAGCAATCTACAACCAATATCACTTATACGTGTCTAGCTGGTTGCATGCAGTTTGCATGTATTATGTTCTCAGTTCCCATTCCTTTCGAATTATTTTGTAGGTTAGCAGGAATTGCAGGTATGTTAATGTAATTTTCGGAGTTCGTAGAAAAATCATAGTATGTAACGCGTTTATAAACTCTTCTAGACACTCGTTTATTAATCACTCGCTCCGCTCTGCTCCGCTCTGCTCCGCTCGTGCTTAAACTACTCGTTACTAAAAGGACGTTTATAACAATTGTTACATAATATACTATTTTAGCTCTCTCGATTCAATCCCTTAGGAGGGGTTAATTAAATTATCATTATTAATCAATTGAGTTGAGTCAATTTTTTGCATTTTTTGAAGAAATTATACAATTTTGAAATCAGCTCAGCAAGGGCAGAAATGGTGATGACGTAATTACAGGATATCTGTATCTGTATATCAGATCATGAACTGAAAAAGTGGTGAATTTGAATCTAATTTTATTGTTTATTTAGCTATAACAATGAATTCATGCGTTACGTTATGGACGCACTGTATGGTAATTAAAATTCTTATGGGTTGAGGACCTATGGAGCAAGTATTCATATACAGGGTGTTTAAAAAAACCTAACCCCCTTGCTAGGGTAGGTATAACATTGCAAAATAAGTTGGGTTTTTCCAGTGAAAAAATGTCGTAACGCCATCCGTTTTCAAGATACAAAGTGTTGAAAAAATATTTTTTTACTCTTGTTTTACGATTATGTTGAAACTCTGGCAACATTGTGATGAAATTTTGTATGTATGTTTCTTGGAATCTGACACATCGCATGCATTTGTTTTTATATCTGACTCTCATAGAGGGCGCTAGTTACACGGTTCGTAACGAGTAGTTTTGAACATAACTTTTTTGAGGTTAGATTTTTCAATCCAAATTCAATGTGAACTTGAACATCAATCAATTTCACACTGAAAAGGTATTCTTGGTAAAACTCGATACTGTGTTCCGTTTTCGTAATATTTCGATTTGAAAATGATGAAGTGGTAACTGTTGCTGGAATAAAGCTATGTATTAGAGTGAGTATTATGAAAATTTATCACCTATTTATTGAAAACCGAAAACAATAATACATTTCTGATGCGAAACTCATTGATTTAACAATGAATCACAAGAATAACATCGAAACAGCTTTGACTAAGAACATGGATTTCACAGTTTTGTTGTATCTTGAGTAGAAAGTCTATGCTACATAGGTGAATTCACGTCAATAGTTGTGAGACATAATTGAACATCACTTAAATGACCTATCAGCTGATCCTCAACTGTTCAGAAGAATAATACATTCTTAAAAAAAGAATATAAAATCTTGTATTCCTGGAAACGTAGGACATTTTGAACACTAACTCTGATTCAATATTTCATGTTTCTAGTCAAATATCTCTTAATTTTCTACTTATAATTCTTTGTTCCATCAATAACTTCAGCACAAGAATAATTTCATTGTTTTTGAACCTGAATTGATAGGTAATTGAACTCAATGAAGTTCATTTTATACCAGCATCATTACTACTCCATTATTTTCAAATCGAAATATTCCGAAAACGGAACATAGTATCGAGTTTCACCAAGAGTACCTTTTTGGTGTAAAATTGAATGATCTTCAAGTTCATATCATATTTGGATTGAAAAATCTAACCTAAAAAAAGTTATGTTCTAAACTACTCGGTACGAACCGTGTAACTAGCGCCCTCTATAGAGTCAGATATAAAAACAAATTCATGCGATGTGTCAGATTTCAAGAAACATCAATACAAAGTTTCATTACAATGTTGCCAGTAGTTTCCGTGTGGAAAAATAAGGTTTTCAACACCTTGTATCATAAAAACGGATGCCGTTACGACATTTTTTCACTGAGCAAACCCAACTTATTTTGCAATGTTCTACCTTCCCTAGCAAGGGGGTTAGGTTTTTTTGAAACACCCTGTATATGCATTCATGAATAACAATAGGTCTCAGCTATATAGTTTTATCTCCAATATGTCGATAGTTATATAAAGATGGTTGAAAACTCTTCATTAAAACATTTGTGAATAGATATAACGGGCGCTCGTAAAATATTGATATCCATTTAGTGATTAAGACAGATTCCAAGTGAAACTATCAAATTGTGTGTATCACAAAAATGGAATAATATTCCACTGCGATCTAAGACCACTCCTTAGTTCGCATCAGATGAAGTTTCCAATTTCTTCGTCCTAATTACGAGAGCTCATAAACTCGCTAGTTCAAATGATGTAATTTTCCACGCTTTCCTCCGAGTGGGTTTCCGTGGTTTTTCCTTGGCGTACCCTCCTGATTAGTTGGCTATCATGAATTTCCCCAAACGATCCTGGTAGGAAAGTTCATGGATTCGATTTCTTTGTACGAAAAAGATATCCATTAAGTTGTATAAATATACCAAGCTTCTTCACTGTCTCTAATAAGTAATACTTTTTTCTATAGTCAATATGTCTCCGTCCATAGTGAAATAACCACAACATAGCCTACTGTCCCACTTATCTAGACCTAATAACAAGATAAAAACCCAAATCAACACGTATTTCAACTAATAAGGTCGTAGTTTATCGAAATTTCGATTAAATAATATCTCTTCAGATTCATCAATTATTCACCGTCCAGTGTATTCTATAACGTTCATACAATGATCAGAGTAAGTTCTGCAGTGATTTGTATACTATTATCACTATGTTTCGATGGTGGAAAAGCCATATGCGTAGACAAAAACGCCCTGTACAATGTCAACGCCACCGTCCATCTAACTCTGCACGGCAGTGGTTTGAAAGTTCTCAACGTGAATTTTTATACTTTGGAGAGATACGTGACAATCGACGTAACACAAGCTAATGTCACTGATCTCTGCGAAGGCATCATCAAGAATTTCATGAACCTGGATTCATTATCATTGATCAATGTCAATTTGTCCAGGATCGAGCCAGAAGCTTTCCAGAAGGTACCCAAACTCAGAAAATTGTCTTTGGCTGTGAATAAACTGACTGAAATCGTGAAAGGCTCCTTCAACAATCTGGAAGCCTTAGAGTTCTTGTACTTGTCTGCCAATGAGATATCGACTATCGAAGAAAACGCCTTTGGTAGTTTGATAAACCTTAGAAAAATCCATCTGGACAGAAACAAAATAGTCGGACTAAACGGAAACCTATTCCATGGATGTGCCAGACTGAGTCTGATTAACCTCAAATTCAACATGATAGAAAGCATAACCAAGGCATCGTTCCAAGACTTGAGACCGAATCATCAGTCGTCCATAACCATTCAGTTGAACAAGAACAGAATAAGGGACGTGGATCCGTCAACGTTCGGTATGTCCAACCCGGTTATTTTACATCTGGAAGGTAATTATCTAGATGCGACTTCAGATCTTTTATATGGCCTCAAAGAGTACAGCAAACTTTATCTGGATGGAAACCAGGTCAGGTGTCTCGCTGACGACGTAATCGAAAACATGAGAAACACAACTAAGGATTTGTCTCTTCTGAACAATCCTATGGACTGTGATTGCATGGATAGGATTGATGAGAGATTGGATGAGGTGTATGGCACTGGAAAACTTGAGTACAGCAGCACGTTTCCTTGTTTGTTCGCTCAGGAGATAAAATTCGGTTAGCTTTTACATCATGAAACTATAACGTTTCCGGTACGGCCAGACCAGAACGAGCACAGAGGAACATATTTCTACTGAACAGAAACAAGACTTCTTTCAAGTTGTTTCCCTCCTGGAGGAATTTTTGATCTTTGTTACCTCAGTGGTTTATGATTATGCTATACTACTTCAGTTCACATGAATACGGAGATTGTTGTTTCTTAGTGTAGACATGAACATAACAATATGGACACATATTTAATTTCGTTTATTTCTGTTGATGTTTCTATAAAAAGTTCGTCTTGATGAGCAACTAAAAGATTATGTACGAAATACGATGTGTTTATTTACAAATTGAGATATTACCAAATGATGTCGACTGGAAATAAAATCGATTTCGTCAACCTGAATCGGGAGGTGTTTGACATGTGTTTTAGATATCGAAAATCATAAATTGAAATGTGAAATAAGGAATACCACTGAGGGATGAAATCCTTCCAAACCCATCTCAATTGATGAATCATCATAAACATTTAATTTACAATCAATATTTTAATTTGAAGTTAGAGGGAATCGAATCTATAACGTTTTGAAATCAGTCTATTCCATAGTTCTGAACTGTAGGTATATCTCTCTGATACCTTGCTATTCTGCAGTGTTGCAGTATGATTGATCAGCTCAAGGACAATAGGCGTATGATTTGAAATGATCATATTTTAATTCATTTTTTCATCGTCCTAGTATGAATGAAAACATACAAAATTATAGTTACTGGTATTTAATTGGTATAGAGCTCACGATGTTGTGGTCTTCCCAATTGTGATAGAAAAACATTAATTTCTTTGAATTTTCCCTATCAAATTTCTATAATGGTAGGTACTCGATAGTCCAGATATAGCAAATAATCATTAACTTCAATGTGTTACCAATTGTAGCAAATTGGGAATGCTAATAGGTTTGGAAAATCTGAGAACTATATTAAACTTAGATATAATTATTTTCATAATCCAACAATCTCCAGAAAATTTTCAGATGCAAATACACTCGCTGACATTACACTTCATTAGTAGGATCAGGACGATTTAGTTTTCTCGTTTATTTCTTTCCTGTCCTCCGCAATGTAGGATTACAAGGATACCAATTCATTATTTTCTCTGCCAGCGGTATGGGACACAAAAAAATGTGATTTTTTCAATGGCTCAGAAGGAGCTTATATTGAGATATGATAAGAATATATGATCACATCTCACATTATCTCATCTCATCATCGGATTATTTCCTTATTAGAAAATCGGTCAATAGATATTCAGTGATATTCAGTGATTTACTGTCTGTCACACTGAGAAAACAATTTCAAAGAATAATATTTTGCATTTTTTATGTTGAAAATGGGAGAAGATTCGTTTTCGAAACGTTCGAAGATAAGACAAAATTCGACATTTTTTCAATATTTTCTTCCCTCAAACATTTTTCGAAACAAAGTGTTAGTGACAAACGATGGATTTTTCTCTTAGGCTCTCTGATCACATGTTTTCACATGTCTTCACACTTATGTACCGATGACTACTCCATCCTTCGATTCATTCGATATGTCTGCTATAATTGTTGATAAACATGAGGTCAGCTACACTTGATTCATTTAATTTCAAATGTGCGAGGTGTTCTCTGATCCTTGTTTTCATAGGTCGCCCAGTCTGGCCTATATATGTTTTTTCACAATCATTACGACTGATAAATCGGGTGAATTTTTGTCTGAACAGAATACCTGCAGGAATACATTTATGGGGAAAATTCCCAACCACGTACATTTTGAAAGATATATAATTTTTTCACGAATTTTCAAAATAAGAGTCTTGAGGTGTGATTTTTGACAAAATATTGTGACATTGGTGAACAGTTTATTGAGTCATGATAGGAAACTACATTTTCAAGACAGGGTTGAGCAGCGAATGATAAATACCGGGTGTCCCAAGTTATCGTATACAGGCAATATCTCGCTTATTTGACAAGATAGTGGAAAAATTCAAGAACTTAATTGAATGGCATTGAAGTACCTTCCTGTCCATCTTTCAACATGTAAAAACTTCACAAACGATAAGATTTCCACAGAATTCTCAAACAGACGACATGTTTCGCTAACACAATAGCTTCATCAGGTGATATACTGATATACTGGTACAATGAACTAAACTCTCAGTTTAGGTCAGTGGGATATTATCATACCATGTTTGAGGAAACTTGTTTACGTTTTACTGCTATGTCATCTTGCATCACATCGTAGTTTTATCGCAACGCTTTTCAATCACGAATAACATATCGCAACTACATTGCAAAAAATATATCGCTGTTTTAAAGCAGATAACTCAACGCAGCGACGTCGCATGGATGAAACTTGAGTTGAACAAAATAACATCTTTCTGACATCGCGGCGCCGTCTATGGTACATAGAGTGTGATATCGCAGGTCACAATTGTATCGGTGCGATATCTCGGTGATGTTTCTGTGTTTGCTGGGAACGGACATTTTGAAGCCATTTTTCTTCGAACAGACTCATTGTTCCTCGAACAAAACATCAGCCTACCAACAACGCACGTGTAAAAATCATCGATGTGATTTATAAATTACCAGTATGGTACCAAATGATTGGCAAGAATTAAGCTTTGCTGTTGGTTGAAACAACGAAACCGTCACATTTTGACATGTGGAAAAATAATCAATGAGACCGAATCGTCTCTCTAGTTTTGCGATTCCATCACCTCAATTTTATCACACTCAGAAAAAATGGTGAAAAGACATGGGAATCTAATAAAACTTTAATGTCGGTTCCCGATTCATCTCGGTGTAATCGAGTGCGATATTGCCTGCCCGTTGGAATTATCATTGTAGGAAACATAGTATCAAATCCGAATGGCTCATTTTACGGTCCAGCAGTCGCGTCGATTCATTCCTGAGGATCAATTCGATTGAAATGGAGGATTGAAAAGGGGTTTGTAGAAGCAGTTATAGCGATTCGTCATTTTGCAGCTCAACTTTTTTTCGAGGATATAAATTGGGTTGTCTCGCATGTATGAGGATTTTTTTGTCGTGCACCATTTCCGTATAAGGAAATTTCCAAGTAGTGTCAATATTTTGAATATTATTTTTTAAGGTTTCAGATAGTCCATTCCATTTTTTTTACAATTGCATCATTTCAAGGAATTTCTCCAACATTATTTCAGTTCCGAAACGTATATTGTGTTATTGTCGTGTCAGTAGACACTCCTGGCAAGTAGCTATCGAGCTGCTGTCACCTGTCCTCCTATTGTCAAAGAATGAGGCAGCCGGCATTTCACCATGGTCGAATAGGCCTTTTCATCTAGATATATTTTTGAGACGCATGCGCTCGTTTTTAGATCCAAAAGTTTATTGGGTAATGCGAAGGTGAAGCCTCATTGGCTATAGTTCCAACAAAAAATGCTTATTGGCCATATCGAATATGGTGGGTATTATATTGACGTTCTGTCAATTGTCAACAGTGTCAATCACCATGGGCATGCGTCAACAATAACAACATAGTATTTTTGTTTTTATATTCCTGGTGTGTATTAATTGTATTGATAATTCAATTCCAAAAAACGTTACTTATTCGTTACTGATGAGTGTGGTACTGTGGTCTAAGTGTTTTGGTTAAAATGGCCGCCACTGTCGTTGGATGCGAGATGTAAACAGAGATAGTCATTTGTCATCTAAATGAAAAGGCCTATTGATTCTTAATTTGTCATTAAACAGGTCTACTATAAGATAAGTTGTAGTTCAGTTAAAGGTGAACAGTTTGTGTATTCCGATTCCTTTTCGTGATAAGACAAATGGTTTATACAAAATAACGTGATAGTTTTGACGGATGATGGGGTTGTATACACTATAGTCGAATTTATGCCATAGACCTATTTTATCTTTATCATTCCATGTATTTAAAGTATCTGATACAGTTATTCATCACTTGAAATCGTCACTTTTTTCTTCAATAATAAAAATAATCCCCTCTTGAAAACACTAACTCTTGATGACGTGACATACCCATAAAACCTATTAGTGTTTTATTGCCCAAAATATTTCCACATTCTACATAGATATGAAAATTCACTTCCACAGTAGGAGTGTGCTGAAATATATCTACACAATACATAAGATGTATGTACCTTCGATGCATAAAAAAGAATAATAATTTTATACAGGAGATGGAGAAATCTGGATGAAATCGCGAGGTATTTCGTTATTCACTGATGTACGAGGCATTCCTTGAAGTCAATTTGAAGAGTAAATATTATTCTTGAACATACAAGCTATTGAATACTATAATAGAGGTACGAATGTATGTACCGGGTGAACAACTAAGAACGAATAATGATACAAGTTTGAGATAGAATAAATCTAATACACAGGAAGGAAGGAATGCTCGAAGTCATCTCCACAAATTTTAATGATATTGTTACTTAATCATGAGGGACATGTTTCGGTCTTATAAAAGACCATCTTCAGCCTAATTGAAAGGTTTGGAGTTGAAAAAATGTTTTGATGCTACTATTCCTTGAACTGTCAATGCCCATAGCCAAGAATTCCAAAGGTTCAGAAAAACGGGTTCTCAATAAATGAACCTTCGTCTTCTGCTGCAGTCTTTGTGCATTGTACAAACAGCACAATGTGATGGCATGACCGAATCAATGATTAGCCGAAAAATACGATTCCTATGCCAAAATAATTGTGAAAAACTATTTCAATCACTTGTAAACAAATAAGAAAAGTGAGGTTGTGTTTCAATGTTGTTTCTTGTTGACCACTGAGGAATATATATGCCTAGACTCGAAACAATTTGAGGTTGACGTCCTATAAACTCAGTGCCTCTAGCATTCAATGAATTTACTTGAGATGAACTCACAATTTCGTCAATAATACTCAATAGTGTGCATCAGTTGATTCAGTTAATTCCAATCTCCAGTCAGTATGCGATGGAATTCCTAAGGAAAATCAATTTCACGAGCTAAACGAAGTGGGTGGAACAGACTCTCATTGAAAATTCACGGGTCACTTCATCCGGATTGTTTGAATTCACTGTTCCGAACTGAAAGCGAATTGACTTAAATTTACTAATAGCGGGTAGCTTCAGAGGATTTCCGAGTTGAACAAGTCATTTTTTCCGAAAAGGTATGATACTTATACGAAGTGGGATCACAAAAGATGTCAGTTAAATTTCAAGTTTCATCAAAGAATTTCAGCCATACCGAAGGCCATACCAACTAATGAGCTACAATGAGGTAATTTTCTACCACCTTCAAGCATATGTAATATTGTATCTTCACCATTCGTTTTCAAGATACAGCAAGATAGAGGGTGTACAATTTCAATAAGAACTCTTATTATTATTAATTACTCAAAAATCTGTTTTCCAATTTCAATAAAACTTGGTGAAGTTTCAAAAAGATTTTTTTGTGAAATTAGATTCGAAATAATGATTCCAGTGGCGTCGCAGTGGGAACCTTTTCGAAATTAATATAAAAAATGGCGTTCGATATTCTCATCAGATTATAACTATATTTTCCCCTCAAATTACCGATTGATATCACCCAATAACTTCAATGAGTATCATTCTGAAATTTTGAGACTTTTTTAGTCACTAACCAGACAAAATTTTGCCATCATGGAAGCTTATATACAGGGTTATCATAAACAACAACAATAAATACATCCAACTTCAACACCTTATATGTTGAAAACGAAGCAATCCAAGATCTATGTTCATATAAACTTTTCGTCTTTAGAATCACCCAAATCATCACCCCATTAAATTCTGCCTGATACTCAAATAACACCCTGTATATATATAAATCGTATTCCAATAACTACAAGCGTACAAGCTACTTTGATAGGAATCGTATTCAAAATTGAATTTCCAAAAATACAAGCAATTCAAGGCCGATATGTTCCTATTCTGATGCCTTCCCGTTAATAACTATTCGACTCATCTTTTCCTGCCTTTCCCCAGCGGTGCGTTCTTTTGCTATCCTAGACTGAACATCGTTGACCATAACAAATGATCTCCAACACGACCATTACATGAACAGTTTACGTAAACTCAAACTAGTGAACATAGCAAGAGATCCAGTTTCTTTCCAATAATGATGATTTAAATCTAACGGCGCCGACATACATAATTATCCATCTCTTTTCAACACTCACCTTACTGATGGGGACTACAGCCTGGATATCGTCCTTCTGAATGTCGAATCTGGAAATAGATTTTCTTCCTTCAGATCTGTGTGATTCGACTTCGGATTCATCCTGATGGGGTTCGTATCTGGCAGTCCACACTATTCTGCTTCCATCGTAGTTTTCGATGGCGTCTTCGGTAATTTCGATAAGCCAAGTAAACAGTTCCTGAACCCTGAAAGAAGACATTGATTTGCGTCTCATATGGTGTTTAATTCGTCCAGATTCCAGATAAAACTTCTTTTTTAGACAATCAGTGTTGCAGTAATAGGAGAGTGGACTAACTTATTTTTTATTCTTTAAATAGAATCATCACTCAAATACCTTTCAATTTTATATTTTATAAGAATTTTTTGGTCGCTTTTCAGGTGCTAAAATCATCAATAATGCCACGGTAATTTTCAAACGGCTATGAATTTACTGCCAGTGAAAACTGATGCCACGATTTCGTATGTAGGAGCAGACCATAGCAGAGTTGCCATATGTGTTGAATTGCGATTGGGAACTTCAGAAATATTAGTTATTCGTCAACAATGAAAGAGGAATAAACAATATATGAGCACCATACATCACTGAATAATGTCGACCCAAACTGCAGACAATAATAATAAATATTGCCGGGGTAGCAATCGGGTGGGAACAATTCCCACCCACCTCTAACTCCCATAGGGATGACTTCCGGTCACCTATCTTTCGACTTATACCGACTTAAACCGACAGCACCCCAGGGAGAAATGGAGGATTTGGATACGCCAAATCAGCGCGCTAGAACCATCTCCGTTATGTAACGGCATGTTCTCCTGCTACCATTTTATTATACCAATGGTGAGGCCGTCTGATAAGACAGACTACTGGCTCTGCAGTGTCAGTGCCCGAGCAGAAACGCTGCTCACCCGCCGATGCAGGCAAGATATCCTCCCACTTGAACCATAGTGGGATTCTTTTTCACCTCCTCTACCGTAGTCCGGTGGTGTTTTTTTGGAAACCGCTGCCCCCTGGAGTCCAACCCAATTGGTGAGGTACCAGGCCGTATGTACGGCCTGATGAGGCTATCCTCATCACCCCAGGTACCCATGTCAACAAAATTCCTCTTGTTACGTTTGATGGGTCGCCGTCGCAAGAGGCTTTGGCCTGATTGCTACTCATGCTGACAAGAATCCTCTCGTCCCGTTGAATGAGTGATCGTTCGAAGACTTTCACACGTTCCTCTACCTCGTTTACAGGAGAGGACCCGGCTTTGCCTACGATGACTAGCGGTAGGATCGCTTTGGGATGCCTCCTCCCTGACGAACTAAGGCAATTCCATCATTCAATTCACACTAAACACAAGCCAACATATTCGAGAAGACGCTGTCCGTCTATCTCTATTACGAACAATTTGGTGGTCTGATGCAAAGTGCAGACTGAATCTTCTCTTCCTACCTACAAGACGCGTAGAAAGCGATACTATTGGCCGTTGGTGATGAATTTGCGCATGCCCATGATTTTCCCAATGATCCCTAAATTCAAAGTCCAAAGATGTCCAAAGTAGACTTACGATGAAATGAATAAGACTGATGTTAACTAACACTCACTGTGATTATGGCTATTAAGGAGCAAGTTACTCTTATTGAGTGTAGTCGTTCACTGAAGTATGAAAACTTTGATAATGAGAAATTATTTGAAAAATCGATCACAAATTGTATGTATCAATGGAGAATGCTCGAGTGCTTTACCAGTCAATCTTGGAGTACCACAGGGATCTATACTTGGACCTCTTTTGTTTTCGTTATATATATGCGATTTCCACCAGATTATTAACCATTGTACTATGCATCATTATGCAGACGATACTCAGCTGTATTATTCATTTTCGTACCATAACTGGGATGTTGCATCAGACATTGTCAATGAAGATCTACAGAACCTCTTGAATATTTCAACAGCCCATAATTTAAAGTTGAATCCAAAGAAGTCCCAGTCAATCCTCTTTGGTCCCAAACATAAACGGTTGGAAATTGAAGAATTATTGCGTATCAAGCTCAATCGAGTTGAAATTCCTATTGTCAAAGAGAGTAAGAATGTGGGTTTGTGGCTTGATTCTGATCTCAGATTCCACAAACATATTAATCCACTCTGTCAGAGTTCATACAATATTCTTCGCCAACTATATCAGAGTAGAGATATCATGTCCTCAAAACTCAAACTGAAACTCTGTGATACACTGATACTTTCAAGACTATCATATTGTGATATTATTTATGGCCCCGCTATAGTACAAATGGATGTGAAACGTCTAAAAAAAATTCAAAATAATTGTATCCGTCTTTCATACGGAATTCGTAAGTTTGAACACATATCTGCTAAATTTGAGGAATCCGGTTGGTTGAGACTTGATAAAATTTGGCAGCAACACCTCCTCGTGAATACCCACAAATTTGTTACAATGAAAACGCCAGATTATATCCACAAGAGATATACCACCTTTAAATCTCAAGGTAAATCGAGTACACGTAACCGTGACACCTTCATCATTCCAAAGCATTCATCAGTTTGTTTCACACTTAGCTTCATGTATAACTCGATCAAGCAGTATAACTCCCTTCCTAATCACTTCAAAAACGACTCATTGCTGAATTTCAAGAAAAGGTTGAAAGAATACCTCAAAGCAGGATAGATTGGATGATGACAACACCTTCTCTGATTTTTTTTTGTGAGCTTCCTATTTGTATTTGTATTGAATATGTGAATATTTTATCGTCGTATATGTACTTGTATGTGTATATTTAATTACATATATTCACTCATATATTAATATGTTTATATTACCTTACATAGTTAAGTTGTAAAACAGCGCAAGCTGAACTTCGCCTTTTCATCGAGCATCATTATAATTTGTATATCTCTTGTTCTTATAAATTATTAATTATCGATGAATAAAGCCCATTTATTTATTATAAATACTTTAAGGTCGGAGTTATTTTTTTATTTGCCGCAAAAACTGCACTTTGACGATCGTGAGTGAAATAAGTATATTACGTATGTGTTGTAAAAAGCATATTACGCACGAATGCTTGATTTACAACACGCATTACGTACTATACTTTACCTACTGCCATTATCCAGATAATGTCAAGTGCACTAGTGAATGGAAAACTTGTGAATCACTTTTCTCAATACCTTTGAGTCCTTGAGATTCAACTTTGGTAGAACACCAAATAATAAATACCCATGCAAAGAAGTAAAAGTGTAGGTTAATTTTTTACTGTCTGCGACCCTGTTTCAAGCTCTGATACCTCAGTGCCGAAAAGAATTATTATATTCCCACAACCCCAATCTCCGAGTTTTACGTTTCTCATTCACCCTTTCGGTGGTCGGATTACCCCCAGCGGATTGCAGTGTGGCATTGTGGTCGGGGACTTTGCCGAATAAAGTCCTTTTTCCCAACGACCATAAATACTTATCAAGCTACTTTACACAGCGCCTAGACCGTTTGGTTTCGACAGAAAAACATTTCGTGATTTCGCCGTATACTGGATTTATTTTCGAAAAAAATAATGTGGGTTATACAGGGTGTATCTAAATAACACCGAAAAACTTAATCCACACAAATCAGTTGCAATACTATTTGGAAAAAAGTATGATCAATTGCGAATTGGTAACCTCAATACCTACTAATGAATATCCCATTTTGATAAATAATCAAACTAATGAACTACAGAAGACTATTAAAAATTTGGGTGTCATTATTGACCAAGACTTAACTTACAACAGTCACATTTCAAAGTGTCTTCGAAAGGCCTACGCAGCACTTAAGCTAATTTACCAGAGACGGCACTTGTTAACTAGGCCAGTCAAAATAATTTTGAGTGAAGCTCTAGTCTTATCACATCTGAATTATTGTGATGTCTTATACGATCGCTCACTCAGCACAAAAGACGAAAGTCGAATCCAAAAGCTTCAGAATTCGTATATCAGGATGATCTTCGGGGTACGAAAGTATGGTCACATCAGTCACCTATTCAAACTCATAAAATGTCTGACAATGAAAAACATGAAGAAATCAAAACCGACAAAACTCCGCCGTATCTTCATGAGAAACTGAAATTCAGAACAGATGTTCATAACCTCAATATCAGGTCTAAAGGAACCTCAACAGTACCCCTACATAAAAGTACTCACTTTCAACGCTCATACAGTATTACCAAAATTTATAATGAACTACCATCAAGAATTGAGTACTCAACTGCTAGTGCATTCAGATCCAGATTACTCGAATGGTTACTAACATTATTCCTTCTTCATATCAATGATCTGTTGGGAGTAACAACTTGTCCCATCCACAGCTTTGCAGATGATAGTACCCTCCACACTGCGTTCTCTTCCAGAATTCCCATTTCTTCCCAGGAAACTAAGAACTCACGGCACAGGCAGGTCAATGCTGTCAATGAAGACCTTGCTGAAATCACAGCCTGGGGAACCAACAACCTAGTTGAATTCAACGCCATCAAGACTCAAGCTTGTATTTTCTCTAGGAAGGCGGAACTCAGTATGCCCGACATTGTAATGTCTGGCACCACCATCTCCACCAAGCCCACCATATCTATGCTCGGCATTTCCATCAGCAACACTCTTTCATGGGATAATCATGTCAGATCCATCGCAAAAGCTGCTTCACAAAAACTCGGATTCTTGTTCCGTGCGAAAAGCTACTTTACACCTCAACAGCTTCTCATGATCTACAAAGCGCAGATACGGCCTGTTCTAGAATACTGTTCCCACATATGGGGTTCAGCACCAAAACATACGCTGATGCTCTTAGATTCCATCCAGAGAAGAGCCATCCGCCTGGTGGGTGACGCCACACTCACTCATCACTCTTTGACATCATTGGAACACCGTAGAAAGGTCGGCGACCTTTCACTTTTCTATCAATTCTTTCACGGGAAATGTGCTTCGGAAATCTCTGCTATCATCCCTTCACTAGCAATTCCAGTCAGACGACCTAGACAAGCCCAGTCAGCACATCCTTTCGTTGTCAACCTCGAAAGATGTCGAACAGCACTTTGTCAAAACTCCTTCATCCATAGAACGGCTAGGCTCTGGAATTCATTGCCTGTGGAAATATTTCCAACAACCTATAATCTCCAGAAGTTCAAAAAAAAAATCCAATACCTTTCTCCTATCCCTATCCTC